TATTTTTTTCTTTGAGTTTTCCGATAACTCAGTTCGAGTCTTTTCTGTTGCTTTTTCGCGCTCTAAACTTGCTTGCAACTCCTTTTCTCTTTGGCTCAACTCTTTAGCGAGCCTCGCTATTGTTGGTTGGAGCTCCTTATTGTCATTATCTTTCTTCTCGAGCTCAATCTTCTAAAAGTCTGCTGCTCGCAGAGCAAAATTCCTTTTAGTCATGTTCACATTCGCTTGAATGTGGCCAACCTTTGCCTCTGCATCTGAAGCCATAAGATCTTGCTTCAGTTTGGCAATTTCCTCCTTCATCTCGTGGAGTTTGCCAGCAGAGTTGATCTTTATCTTCTTGTGGGCCACATTCAAGGCAAGCAAAAACTGCATGGAAATGAATAAAGAGTTAGTTTTTTTTTTTTCTTAAAAAGCTAAAAGATCGACTTATATGAAAGAGTTCTCGAAGAGAACAAGTCATTTTACCTGACTTTGCATCTGAAGTGCGATGGTCACCAAGTCGGTAAGTCGAGAGGCCACGTACCTGTTAAAGGTTGTGGCGAGTTAGCATTCTAAAAAGGTGTAAACCACCAATTGCAAATGATCTAGTAGTTGCCTTAGAAGATCCAACACAAACGAGTCAAGTCTCATCGCAACAAAGACCCCTTCGACATGTTGCTCGCCTGCTTCCCCTTGAGCGGTTGCAGTCGTTTCCTTTTTTCCTTGTGAGGTCCCAGGGGCAGTCAAGGTCCCGATAGTGTCCCTCGAGGTCATCCTCACAGAGAAGAATTGATAGGGCTGTAGCCTATCTAGCAATATCCCGAAACCTTTTGGCTCATATTTGGTTTTCTCTTTGGTGGGTATTATTTTTCTTTTCTTTGACTTTTGGACCAGGGTTTTCTTCCTTAGCGGATGAGCAGCAACAGGCTGGGGAGCTTCTTTACGTTGCTTAGCGGTTTGTTGCCTTTCGGCACCAATTTATATCCCCCTTACAAGGATATTGTTAGAGGTCGCTCTAACTGGTTTAGTTGGATTAATCCTAGGGAATGCGAGCCCCCCAGGCTTCTTCGTCATCTTCACAATCTTCGGTGGCATGGTTGTTGCATGGCATAAAGATGTGTCAGCAAAGAGAGTCTTCTTTTGTTAAACAAAGACTTAGAGTTTTTCTCTGTAAGAAATACTTACAAGTTGGACCGTCCAAAGATGCGTTAGGACTGAAAAACTCATACTTCCGAAGGTTGGCAATAGTCAATGCGGTTGCAATCAACTAGCTTCAACAAATTGGTCGTTTTGCTTCTTGCAAGAAAGTAAAAGATTTGTTAGCCTAATATATTAAGGAAAAGTTAAAGTTAAAAGATAAGTGATTTGGAAATTAGAAGGAAAACCTACTCAACTTTTTAAATTTACAGACTCCATCGTACTCGAAGAAAAAATACTTGGTTTCATAAGTCCCAACGTTGTTGGGGTAACCAAATATCCCTCCCTCGATCGTTGATCGCTTAAAGAGGTAGTATGAATCTTCGTCTTTACTCCTCTTTAAGTAATAAGCACAACCAAGTTCCTCTGTTGTTGGCTCGCTGAGGTCGTGTTCGCCAAATGCGATATACATGGTGACCGCTATCATATATGCATTTGGCGTCAGCTAGAATGGCATAATCTGAAAGTCGTCAAGGATCAACCTGATATAGGGGTGAAAGGGTATCCTCACTCCACATTTAAAGATCACTTCCAAGATCGCAGCCAATCCCTTGGGAGGATCTTGACCAGTGTGCGACTTGTGTTGGAACATGTTTATGTTGATAGCATATTGAACAATTGCTCTTTGGATTTTGTCCTTTGAAACTATTGATCGTATCACCTTTTCAGGACCCACCAAGGTGTGTGATCGTTGTGAGCTTTCGGGACCCGTCGAGGTGCCCGGTGGCTACAAGCTTCCCTCTTCGGCTATTCTCGCTTTAGGGACGTCCATCACTCTTAGAGTTTGTAAAGGGGGCAACATGTAGAGTTGACTCAAACTCCGCATAAATTATCTCGTACGACGACTCAAAAGAGTAAAATAACCTTAGTTCCTCTTCCCTAGCTGCCAAAAACCCCAAAAATTCTTAAGAATGATTTTCTAAAGATCTGTGCCCTAAGTTTTTTACTTTTAAAAGTGTTTTTTTTTTTCAAACACTACCCGAGAATGTTCATCATCTAAGCCTTCCAGATGTTCACACCCACCATTACTGTAAAAACTAAGTTTTTTGACGTGAATGAAAAAGAGAAGAAATTTCTTTACATCTTGATTGCTGGGAACAGATATTCTATCGTAGTGTTGAGTGCACATCAATCAGGAAAATGATGAACTAATCTTTTGAGTGCAAAAATGTTGTTTTTCTCTCTGAAAGTTTGAGTTTTGTGAAAAAACTTAGAATGGGCTTTGGGTTTTACAAGGTGGAAGACGACACTTGATTTCTTTTATGAGTGACGTTTGGGCGGGAACGTGTTTCCAGCCATTGATTGTGACCACGTGTCACTGATCTGTGTGAAGAGTAACCTTCACACTTCGTGAAGATCAACCGGCGTTTCTCTTTATTGAAATCGCCAAACACCAGCGTGATTATCTCTTCCACATTAAATGTGCCCTCGTCCGCATTTAATGCTTCAAAAGGGAATGTCGTTTCAACATTACTTGCATTTAATGCTCATGGTTGACACTTATTACACAAAGACACATCTGTTAGATAAAACTTATTTTATTGACCAAGATAGTTGTCAAGCGCAACGGATAATATCTAAGGAGGTCGTTTGAATAAGACATTTTTTCCACATGTCAAATTTGAACATCGAGCAAAATGATTCTCAATTGTCGACAACAAAATATTCTAAGTGTTTTCAGGTCGTGAATGACAGGTAGAGTACGAAACACATTTTCATAGCACTGATCATGATCCAGCTTAGGTCGCTAGACCTTTGTGAATGATCAAGTCAGGTCGCTTGTGTAGTTCTCGAGACCCATGTCACGATCTACTCTTAGTTCGTGGTTGAGTCAAACTATCAGCCTCATGTCATTTGCAACAATGTGGTTGTTCTCAACTATTAGTTCGGGCAAACACTCCTCGAGACAAGTCAGGTCGCAACATAATCATGAAGTTTCAAGATTCAATCTCTAAACCTTAAGAACTAGGGAGTTTTGTTATGCCTAAAAAATCAGGGCTGACGTTAGCTTACATTAGCAGGCACCAATCAGAGTTTATGAAGGCTTTGCGTCGTCCAGGAGCTGCCACGTTGCTCCATGACAGAAAGAATATGGTTGTCGCCAACTTAGCAAATTTAGGTTTTATCTATGAGTGACTGAAGACCGCACACATGTCCAAGTCCCAAATAATTCGAGGATATTTCTTAAGTTATCAGCCAATGGAAGGCAAGGAATGACTTGTACGACACCTACTCACTTGCAGATTTGTAATCATTACTTTGAGTTCATTTACTATAAATAAAGGACTCCCCTTCTCATTTTTGAGATTATGAAACTTAACCCCCGTTCTGATTGTAATCTTTATTTTCATAGCAAAGATAACCTACGAGATTGATATTCTCTCCGAATAATCAATTATTGTACCTCTGTTCGTTATTCGCTTTACGCGGCCTCTTGTAATCTCTCATAAATAAAAGTGGACGTAGGATTCGCTTTAAGCATCCGAACCACTTTAAAAATCGTATCTCTCATTTATTATTTAGTCTTTGTACCTAATTATAATAGTTCACGTGTAATTTCCAAGAACAACTTAACACTTTATACGTGCGAGTCGTTGTTATCAAAATCACGCATCAACACACTCCATAATTCGTTTTATAGCACAATTATTTTCAAAAGAAGATTGATAACCAAAACAATTGAAAATTCTACATTGATTTACATGACATTTTGTCTTTGACTATTTTTATTTGTATATATGATTGAAAATATATATCCAAATGCAACTAGGTAGTCGGTATTTATTGACTAAAGAAAATATTTAAAGTGCCAATAATGTCTTTCTTGGTCAATCAATAAACAATATTAATAATGTGATTTAAATAATTGGTTGTGAGCAAATGAAAATGGATTGAAAAAACAGATGATAAGGGAGAGTAGATAAGATACTGAGGTGACCAATAAGGGAGATTATTAATTATCTGATTAAAATTAATTGATCAATTCCTTTAAGTCTAATTATCGGAAGTCAACTTCTAAAAAATATAATCCATTAAATCTTAATGGATAAGATTTCACCATTTTTTTTTTTTTTTTTTGGAAATATATTTGTTTTCTTAGCTAATTTCAAATATTAATGTATGCTGATATCTAATGCCGTAACCCGTAAGTCCAACTCCAATTGTTATTCTTTAATGAATTAATGTACACCATTTGGGAAAACACAATTCGAGTTTTTTTTTTTTTAATTACTTGTTTTTTAAAGTCATTTTAATTTAATTTATAAAATTATAAAGAATATTAAAAGATATTTTTGTTATTTCCAATAAACGTTATCTTATCTTCATTTGACAAGTATTGTTTAAAAAAAAAAAAAAAAAGTAATATCTAAAGCATCTCTTTAGACTAGCACTAAAGCCATCTTGATGATCTTGACAAACCTTATCATTTTGATCGCACAAAAATAACAATCAATTCTTAATAAAAGCAACTTTTTTCGGAATTTTGAAAGATAATATGATTTCACTGAACATGGATGGAAAAATCTACCTAAGAGGCTAAGAATATGATTCCAATTTTTGGCCTCTCATAAAGATTTTGATGAGATAAATGGCGATTATATTTAATATTATTCAATTTATGTATGGTAGGAAATTGCAATTGAATTGTCAAACTTTGAAAACTCTTAGTCGTAAAGAGCGGAACCTGGCCACAAACAAGTCCACATTCAACATCAGATCGAAAGGACATAGAAGTGGCGGGTCCACGTGGAAGAAAAGTAAAACTCGTGCAACGACTAAACTTATACAGCCTAAAAATGAAGTAGTTTGTTAGCCAGCCATTAATGAGTAATATGAGCTCCACTTAACACAGTTTCACATAAATACCATCACGTCCGTCAATCTCGACTTCTTTCTCCTACTAAACTCTCCACCTATCTTTATCTTTATGTGGCTGTTCGATAATTCAACTTTAAAGATTAAACATTTTAAACATAAAGATTATATTGTCGTTGGATTCTCGGGTAAAGGCTCGGTTCAAACTCAAAAGTCTTCTGGGTTTCCGTGCTTTTAAGTTTTTTCTTCAGGCTTGAATATTTATATATATATATAACACTCTATTTAATATATATTCTGGTGGGATGTCAAACATGGAAATTCAGTGTTGACTAAACTATTGTGGTCTAGCCAAAAAAGAGGTGAGAACGTGGCAAAGTTTGCAGCAGCTGGTTCCTTGAACCTGGACAGGATTTGGGTTGTTACCTGTATTCTTGTTATTTAACGAAAACATTAAAGAAATATGAGGACCGTCGAGGGTGGGGAAGCTAGAAGAAAAGGTGAAAAGTGATATTTTTTTGGTATTACTTTTTATAGAGGTTTAATTATGGTGTATATAGCGACTTTCTTTTTGTCTTTTTTGTTGTTTATTGTTGTTCTTGATTCTTCTTTTAAAGTTACAGGTGTTGTGAGAGAGAAAGTAATATTTGAAAAGCAAAGACTTTTTTGGGTTGTGGGGTTTCAGTCTTATGATCCACTATCAATGGCTTTGGTGAGAAGCATATGAAGGAAGGAGGTGAGTTGTGATTTAGATAGACTTTTATTGCTTATAGCTTTATTCTCTTCTCAAATGATGCAATTTGAAAAGAGAATTTCAACTTGAACTTTGGTTGCTTTTGGTTCATCCACATGTAATTGTAATGATTTTATGCTTGTATTTTGATTGAGTCACAGAGAGAATGAGAGAGAGAGAGAGATTATAAATTTTTGATATTTCTAATGTATTAAAATGATTTTTATAGGAGGCATCTGATATGAATGTGTGGTGGTGGATTGGATTTTAAGTTATTAAAAAATGTAGGACTGTCTGGTTTTAGTCAAGTTGGTACTTTAGGGCTTCCAAAAGGCCACCTTTGGTGCTTCAACTTTTAATCCTTTGTTGGGTAGAGGCATAGCATATTTATTAATGACTTCATAACTAAAAGCTAAATGCTTTGATGCTCTTTCGTTTTCATCTGAAATGAAAATACAAGTTCCATACTAAATGCAGCAAAAGAATAATAATTCAAAGACTTAATTTTGTCTACTGTCTTTTGAAACTGCGTATTCCTTCTTGTTGCTCTTCTTAATTATTCCACCTGTATAAGACATGAAACATGTTTGACATTCATACAAATGACACCAGTTTGAACTAAAAGAATGAAGCTGTTTGATGTCTGGTGCTTTTATACAGAAGCGCGGCCGTTTTAGCTCATCAAAATTACATCATCTTACTTGGCAATACTGCAGTTCCCTGTATCAATATGTTTAGATTAGAACTGCAAATTCTTTTAAGCAGTCGCAGTGTCATTCACAAAGTATATATTTTTTTATTTCTATTTTCTGAAATATTTACAGACTTCGGAAATTATTATCAGGGGAAAACACAAAGAGATTGACTGATCGAAAATTGAAAGGTTAGTGTGTGCTTCTAGTTTTCTTGCCACCGCTGCCACCTGTGCACCCAAGTCAACACCTTCTCAAACTTGTATATTTTATTTGGTTTGCCCAATTGTGGTGGAGATGAACTTCGGCTGCTAACCTCAGTCAGTTGGTATTGAATAATCTCCTCCGTCACTTAATAGAAATATTAAATTTACTTCGACTTTGGAATGTATGTGACAAAAAAGAGATCTAGATTCATAACTTATTGCTAATGCAATATAATCTCTTTTGGTTTCTAAAGTTTGACCCAATAACCTTTCAGAACCTATATAAGCATATGAGCCTGCAAGGCTCCTTTCAAGTCAAAAGGCTCTGCACGTTAGTTCCTTGACCTTTCTATCATTGTTGTTGTGGTTAGTTTCATGTATCATTTGTCCTCAACTATTTTATATTAGTAAATTTCCAAAAACATTACATAACTGCTAGTTAGATGGTTGGTTTTTTAATTTCAAAGCTTTGAAGTTAATAAGATTTGTAGCTAAATTTCATGTAAAAATAAATGTTGTTTGCTTGACTAAATGTTCATTCACTGCCTTATTTTTCTGATGATGACTTGGTTTTTCTTGCATTGCAGTTGCCATTGAATTAGTGGTCCTAATTTTCCATGGATCCTTCAACCAGAGAGGTTGAAACAAAAGAGATTGATATTAAAAGTGTGTCATCTTCTCAAGGTCACTCTCAACGGTACCCACAGAATGAGCCTTACATGCACAAGGTGGGGATTCCCCCCAAGCAAAATCTATTCAAGGAATTCAAAACAACTGTTAAAGAAACCTTCTTAGCTGATGATCCGCTGCGTCACTTCAAGAATCAAACAAGGTCCCGTAAGTTCATCCTTGGCATCCAGGCCATCTTCCCCATTCTTGAATGGGGCAAAGATTATAATTTTACTAAATTTAGAGGGGATTTAATCGCTGGTCTGACGATTGCAAGTCTCTGCATTCCTCAGGTAATTTAGGTTTACTACTCAATAAACTTGTAACTAAAAGAATTGAAAAGTCATTCAATTTTTCACATCCAAACAATTCTAATAATTTACTTTTCTGGATACATAGGATATTGGGTATGCCAAGCTAGCGAACTTAGATCCACAATATGGGCTGTGTAAGTTGCATTGCTTATCAATTGTATGGCCTGATAAAGACTTTCTGCTTGGACATTGCTTTTACTATAATTTTACTTTCTGCAGACTCCAGTTTTGTTCCACCTTTGGTTTATGCATTTATGGGAAGTTCAAGAGATATAGCCATAGGACCAGTAGCAGTGGTGTCTCTCTTGTTGGGGACTCTGCTACAGAATGAAATTGATTACAAAACAAATATGGTGGAGTACCGGCGTCTTGCTTTCACTGCCACCTTTTTCGCGGGGATTACGCAAGCAGCCCTTGGAATTTTCAGGTATTAGGACCTTCTCTTGTGTAGTTTTAAGAAGAAATCAGACGAAGTGTTTGTAAATCCTAGTAATTAATTGTTTTCATTATCTTCTTCGATATCAAATGCCCTATTAAGGTTTAAAGTTTTAGTTTTGGAATACTGATATGGAGTTTTCATGGTTTGTTAACATTATTAGGTTGGGTTTCCTAATTGACTTCCTATCCCATGCTGCCGTTGTGGGTTTTATGGCTGGAGCTGCCATAACCATTACCCTCCAACAGCTTAAGGGTTTTCTGGGCATCAGCAACTTCACAAAGAAATCAGATATTGTATCCGTGATGAACTCAGTGGTCAAGTCAGCCCACCATGGAGTAAGCTCTATTCTTCATCTACTTCTGCATTTCTTCAATTACAGTTTTTCGTATCCTTTTATTCAGAATGGTAATCCATCTGGAAGACACAAGAATCCTTGTAACCCAAGATAGTGCTCCTATTGAACCTATGTTACTAAATCTTAAATAACAATATTTTGCAGTGGAACTGGCAGACCATCGTCATTGGAGCAAGCTTTCTAGGTTTCCTACTTTTTGCGAAGTACATTGTAAGAAACTCTAGTTCTTCTCTCTGGTTTCCTGAATAACATGGGCTCTAATTGGTTATCCAATTCTCAATTTTTTGATAAACAGGGAAAGAAGAACAAGAAATTTTTCTGGGTGCCAGCAATTGCCCCATTAATCTCTGTTGTTCTGTCAACATTTTTTGTTTATATAACCCGTGCAGATAAGGAAGGTGTTCAAATAGTAAGTATTTTTCTCCCTCACATCTTTTTTCAGATTTTTTTTTTCTTTTACAGTTATTGGCATTAGTTGCAAAGATAATAGGGAATTTATAAGTAATTGCTGATGTGTATATGCAGGTAAAACATATAGAGAAAGGAATCAACCCCTCATCTGTGAATCAAATATATTTCAGGGGTGATTATCTCCTAAAAGGTGTCAAAATTGGTGTGGTGGCCGGCATGGTAGCATTGACGGTAAGATAATGACACAACCTATAATTTCCACCAATTAAAGGATGTTATCATTAGTTGTTGTATCTAATACCCCAACCCCACTTTTTCTGTTTTCTTTTTCGTGAATTTATCAGGAAGCTGCAGCAATCGGAAGAACATTTGCTTCCATGAAGGACTATCAACTGGATGGGAACAAAGAAATGGTAGCACTAGGAGCAATGAACATTGTAGGTTCAATGACTTCCTGCTATGTAGCCACAGGTGAGAAGGAAGCATATACTGAATCACATGAATCTATCTACTCTTTAAAGCCAACAAATGATGCATGTGAATGATAATACCAAATCATTTTTTGTTAGTAATTAAAAAGAGATGAACTAATATATACATGCCAAAGGAAGTTTCACTGATGAATGTAAATATATGGAAGTTTCTACACATAAATGTAAATGTATGACAATATGGAGAGTAAGAAAGAAAAAATGTTAAACAGTGCACTGAAGAAGAGTATGGTACCAGTTCTCTGACAATCTAATAAGATGGCAAATAGCACGGGAACCATTTAACTTGACTAAACTGGAAATTGTTAGTATTCTTTTATTAAGTTATCTACTGATTCCTGGCAGGTTCATTTTCTCGATCAGCAGTGAACTACATGGCAGGCTGCCAAACTGCAGTCTCCAACATTGTCATGTCTTGTGTTGTATTTCTAACCTTAGAGTTCATAACGCCTCTTTTTAAGTATACTCCAAATGCAATTCTTGCGGCCATCATTATATCAGCTGTGCTTGGCCTAATTGACATTGAGGCGGCATGTTTGATATGGAAGATAGATAAATTTGATTTTGTTGCTTGCATGGGAGCCTTCTTTGGAGTAGTTTTTGTCTCTGTTGAGATAGGCCTTCTAATTGCGGTAAAAATCTAGATACTATACTAGTTGTTTATGTTAAATATAAACCAACTATGTTGTGTTAATACTAATTCCATTATGTGTGTGGCTGCAGGTCTCTATATCCTTTGCTAAAATCCTCTTGCAAGTAACCAGGCCCCGGACAGCACTTCTGGGAAAGGTTCCTAGGACTACTGTGTATAGAAACATCCAACAATATCCAAATGCAGCTAAAGTTCCTGGTGTCTTGATCGTGAGAGTTGATTCTGCAATTTACTTTTCCAATTCTAATTATATTAGGGAGAGGTATAGATATTACTTCTTAACAATCTACACCTTCACATCAATGACATGAAAGAGCTTAATTGATCAATTTGTTTTCTACAACCAAGCTATGGGTTAGACTTCCATTAGGCTTCCTAAAACTCAAAACTGTGACTTGTTTTGCAGGATATTGAGATGGTTGACGGATGAAGAAGAACAGAATAAAGCAGTCAATGAACAAAAAGTCGAATATTTGATAGTTGAGATGTCGCGTAAGTAGTTTAATTTCTACTTTATTTTTAAAACCCACTAGTGTTCTAGTATTCTAGCTAAGCTAAACATGTTCTTTTATGCTTAATTCATTTCTCATTGTGTTCATGTTCATGTTTTTGTATTTTTATTTTCTCAGCTGTAACTGACATAGACACCAGTGGTATCCATGCCTTGGAAGATTTACACAAAAGTCTAGAAAAGAGAGGCGTTCAGGTACTTAAAAATATTTTCCAACAGGTACTAGTATGAAGTTGGTGAAATTAATTAGCTTACCATAAAATTTGCCATCATGTTGCCCAGCTAGTATTGGCAAACCCCGGTCCAGTGGTGATTGACAAGCTTCACGCATCCCACTTTGCAAACATTATCGGCGAGGATAAAATCTTCCTCACAGTTGCAGACGCTGTTTCATCCTGCTCTCCAAAACCAGTGGAAGAGGTTTGACGAAAAGAAACTGAAATAACTTCAGTGTTGTTTTCGGAGAGAAGACACATTCTTCCTTTTTGGTAATACATATATGCACTGGTAAAGTTGAAACGGAAACGGAAAGAGAAAGTGTATAGTGGATGGTGGGAGTGGGAGTGGGAGTGGAGAGTGCTGTCATTTATTAATAATGGACTGACTGAAATGTCCAAAGAATCCATCAATCCAATCTTACATTTTGTATTTCCGAGCTTTTTTTTTTTGTAAAATTAGATCCACATTTTGTTATTTCATGAAATATAATTTTCTTGAGGTTTAAAAAAGAAACAGAAATATCCGTTTCCCATAAAAAAAAAAATATATATTCTTTAAACAAAAAAGAATGATATTTGTGGGTGGGGGGGCATTATGGGAAAGAAGACATTTGCATTAAAAAGGTATTTGATGCTGCACTAAAAAAAAGTGCTTTTGATGTCCAAAGGTGAACAGTAATGAATGTAGACGCAAAGAGGACCACATTCAGTCAGGGCTGATTTAAAATAACAATAATAATGGTGTAACGTATTTGGATAACGAGATTATTAATTGGATTAGGATGCATTATCCAACTAAACCTTATTGGATTTGGTTGGATTCATGCTGTATCACGTCACGTCATCATTGAATTCTAGAATTGGGCCCCACAGTTGGCCCAATTATGCAATTGCCTCCTTATTTCCAAATTCTCAAGTAATTCGGGAGTCATTGTTTAGTCGAAAGAGAAATGGTGTGCAAATTTCTTTTGAAGGTTTTGTAGAATTACTGTGTTCGATGATATGTTACTGAGAAACACGTCCCTCTGTATGTCCTAACAAAATAACAATTTAATAATATTATATATATAATATTATATAATAAAATATAATTAGTTAACGTTAAATTTAAATTAAATTTTAATCCAATCATCTTTTATCACATAATATTGTATGAGAATATTGTATATATAATATTATTGTTTATCAAATTCATTATAGTTCCCTAACCTATCATTTGTTGTGGTGTGGACACTAAAATTGAGTCAATTAATTTCAATTATGTGAATGAGAATCGATCTTTTTCAACTAAACGATCAATTGTAGAAAGTGGGTTATATAATTTTGATATCCTTAGAGGCTTAGACAAGTTTATGTTTGCGTGATACTCAGGCTTAGCATCCCCATTTGTCCTCTCTTCAGTTAGAATTAAGATAGAAGCATTGATATTATATCAAAATTGAGAGGATAAGAGAGACAATTGGAGTATGCCCAAGAGATATATGAGAGAAATTTAATTTAATTATATTTGTTATGTCTAAAAAATCAAAGTTGACGTAAGCTTACATCAGCGAGCACCAATCAAAGTTCATGAAGGCTTTGCGTCATCTAAGATATACCATGTCGTCCCAATACAGAGAGAATACAGTTGTCACCAACTCAACAAGCTCAAGTTTAGTCTGTAAATGAATAAGGTCTGCACACTTGTCCAAATCCCATATAATTTAAAGATATTTTCTAAGTTATCAACCAATGAGACGCAAGAAAAAACTTGCATGACACCTACCTACTTGCAGACTTGTAATTATTATCTTGAACTCAGTAGCTATAAATAGATGACTCCCCCTCACAAAATTGGGATCTTTGATTTTCATAAAAACAAAAAGCAAAAACAACCAACGGGAAAGAGACTGGCCTAATATTCTCTCTAAATACCAAGCACTAGTAATTCTATTCGTTGTTCGTGACCTCTTGTAACTTGGCTTATAACTAAGAACACTCATATAAAAGAAAACAGTGTATGTAGGAATCGCTTTAAACATCCAAACCACTATAAAAATTTTAGAGCATCTCCAATGGTGCTCTTTATTTTGAAGAGCATTTTTCATATAAATAAAGAATATTTTCATTAATTTTTAAATATAAAGAGCACAATTTTTATTCAAATCCAATCGACTATTTAAATTTAATGAAAATACTCTTTATTTTTAAGAAAAAGACTTAATGAGAGAGAGAATTAATAAATAAAATGCATAAAAACTTGTAGTTTATTAATTAAAATTATGATAGAGAGTAAATTTTGACTCTCTAAATGTGGAGAGTTAAACTCACTCTCTAATTTATATTTTAAAGATAAAGAATCTGTTAGACTCTTGTTTTTATGGATAGCTTCTTTATAATAAAGAGTTTTAGTTATATAAAGAGTCATTTGGAGATGCTCTTACTGTCTCATTTATTATTAAGTCTTTACATGCTACTGTAACATTATCCTAACTCTCAAATTAATCATGTGTAACTTTTAAGACCTGCTTAGCATTTTGTACGTGTGAGGTCGTTGGTATCAAAATCAGACATTAACAATATTGAATTGTACTGAGTTGTTCAATTTGAGTTGTAAATATACAGTCTATTTATACAAAAGTGTGATAATTATATAAATACATAAAATATTGCAAATAATCATGTAATCTCAATAATAAAGTAAAGAAAATCATATCTTAGCATAATTAGGATAAAAATAATTCACATACTCTCATTCTAGATAATATGTGAAATAATGTTGCATATTTTCTTTTCATTTTCGCATGTCAAAGTCTCCCAAGAGTCTATCTTCTAATTTCATTTTAACCTTTTCATTTATAAATCTAATTTAAATACAATAACTGATATAAAGATAGATAAATAATTAATTCTAATCTAATTTTTCTCTCTCACCCGCATTATACTAATTACTAAATATGGACAGATTAACTTCACATTAAAACAAAATTACAGCCTGTGGGTTCATTGAACCTGGACGACATTTGGTTCTTTTTTTCTGGATATATTCTTCCTGTGTCACTATAATAAAGAAACATAAAGGACCATCAAGAGTGCGGAAGGCGAAAGGGAAAGGTGGTAAGTGATTACTTTTCGCAGTACATTTGCAGGTTTATGCATGTAGAATACATTACAGTGTACATTTTCTTTGTCCTTTTCTCCTTGTTTAATGATCTTGACTTCTTATACCTTCTTTTATCCAATAACTTTGCCAGGGGACACGGTGATTTTTTAGAAGTCAAGACCCTTTTGAGATAGTGGGGTTGCAATCTGATGATCCACAAACATTCATTGACTTTCGTGAGTAGTGAACTACTTCGATTTTAGTGCTTAACTTTATTCTCTCTTAAAATGATGCAATTTTGAACGAGTATATTTAATATTTCAACTTCCAACTTTGGGCGTTTTGTTTTGGTTCATTCGTATGGAGTCTTCTGTGTAATGATTTTATTCTTTGTAGGCTGATTGAGTCTTCATTATTGAATTAATTTGTAAAATAACTTCCATTAATTAAACAAACAATATTGTAAGTGGAATCTACTATGGGGTGGTAGAGAAGATACAGTGTGCCAGTGCTATGAATAAACTAAATAAAGAAGAAGCCGTACGTAAAAGTTTCGTTTTTATTCAAGTTAATCGTTAAGGTTCCAAAAGGCCGTCGACTTCATGATCGATACTGATTACTGAAAACTAATTGTTAGGATGTATATGCTAAACACCAAAAGAATCCTGGTATTGTTTTTACAAGGGAAAAACAAGGCATTCGTCTTAACGTTGTTATCAAAGTCTCCTCTTTCCTGAACTGGGCATAGTTTTTATTCATTACTTTGTTTATTTCCTTGCATTGTTTCTCTTTTAATTTGTTCCGCTTGTCATGGCTCTAATAATATATGAAAGTTGAAACCAATCTTAGATTAACACAAATGAAACATGAAACATGTTTGACATTTCATACAAATGACACCACTTTGAACCCTAAGAATGACCTATTTAATGTCTGTTTGTTATGGACACAAGTGTAGTATTAGGCTTTTAGCTCAACAAATTAAATTATACCAAGAAGCTTTACCCTTTTGAAAATGGTGTGTTTTTGAAGGATTCATAGCCATGTTTCATGTGACAGATAAATAATCGCTTTTTGCTTGATTAAATGCTTATATGGAGTCATATCATCACTGCCATATTTTTCTGTTTGTGACTTGATTTTTCCTTTGCATCACAATTGTTCAGTGAATTACAGTAGTCCTTGTTTTCCATGGATCCTTCAACTGAAGAGGTTGAAACAAAACATGTGGATATCAGACCAATATCATCTTCTCAGCCTAACTCACAGGATGAGGTATACGTTCACAAGGTGGAAATTCCCCCCAAGCAAAACCTGTTCGTGGAATTCAAAGGAATTGTTAAAGAAACATTCTTAGCTGATGATCCTCTGCGTCCCTTCAAGAACCAACCAAGGTCTCGTAAGTTCTTCCTAGGCATCCAGGCAGTATTCCCCATTATTGAATGGGCCAAAGATTATAATTTTACAAAATTTAGAGGGGATCTTATTGCTGGCCTCACCATTGCAAGTCTCTGCATTCCTCAGGTATGTATTACTACTCAATTTACATGAAACTAAAAGGAGGTATAAATATAATCGTGTAATTTTAATAATTTACTTTACTTAATAAAACAGGATATTGGGTATGCAAAACTTGCGAACTTGGATCCACAATATGGATTGTGTAAGTTTGCGTTTCTTATACTTGTATTGCCTGATATGTGTTTCTTCTGGGATTCTTGGTTAAGTTGGTCATCGTATTGTTTTAAGTTGCGCAGATTCCAGTTTTGTTCCACCCTTGGTCTATGCGTTAATGGGTAGTTCAAGAGATATAGCTATAGGACCTGTGGCAGTGGTGTCTCTCTTGTTGGGGACTCTGCTTCAGGATGAGATTGATCCCAAAAAAAATGCATTTGAGTATCGACGCCTTGCTTTCACTGCCACCTTTTTTGCTGGGATTACGCAAGCCACCCTTGGAATTTTCAGGTATTTAATATCCTTCCATGTGTAGGTTTAAGAGAAATTAATCAAATAAAATATTTATACTTTCTTGTTTACTATTATCATCTTTTTTTATGCCAAACGTTCTTCCAAGTCTCCAAAAGTTTCAATTTGACGGTTTGTATATATTGTTAGGTTGGGTTTCCTGATAGACTTCCTATCCCATGCTGCCATAGTCGGTTTTA